AATCTGACTTGACAACATTTCTTTTGAATATAATTTAGGACTGCAACTTATGATTCGTTTTACTTTGTTTATTCTGTTGACTATTTTGTAGATGTCAATGTTACATTTCACAATTTTTTACAAGACACAGCAATGTAGAAAGTAAGTGTGTGAGCTAAAATTGGAAACACCACGTGTTGTCATTTCGCTTCTTGTATCAAAGAGAAAGCAAAGTGATGATCACACTTTCAAAATCATATGTTTGGTCTGTCAGAAGACTTTATGAGTATGAAAGAGTGATTCTATTGTAGGTCACTATGCAGCAGCTTAGAAATTATTGTTGCTGAGAGTAACCTTAGCTGTAAACGTAGCATAGCAGTGTGTGTAGAGTGTTTTTGTTGGTGAATAAATGTTTACTCCTAAAAGCCCAAGCAAGGTTCATATTTCCTTTTAGCAACAGACGGATCAAAGTAAAGGGGGTGAGCCCAAAGCCAGCAACAACAACAACAACAACAACAGCTTACAGTCACTTAAGGTGGGCTGACCTTTAAGGTGGACCAGCTATTCTCACTGTAGCACGCTGCTCCTCACCACCGGAGATCCAGAGCTTTCCTTGTAAAAACTCTGCGCGCTGACATTTGAAAACATAAAAACAAAGATCTACATACTGGCACTGAAATAAAAAATAAGCAATATAATGGATCCAAAGGTGAGTCGTCGTTTCCTAACACCGCAACTAAAAAAGTAGGAAAAAATGTAATCATTATTCTATTGTTTTGGTTTTTCAATCTGGAAATACTAAAAGGAAAACTTTCTAAAAGCACAGACCTCCCTTGCGATACCTTTTTTACCATCCCAGAAGTGCGTTCAGAATCCATGAGGTGGAGGAATAATTGTCGACAGTGACACTCAAAGTTACGTTACGGTTAAAAGGGCAGCATAACCTTTATTTTTCTCCCATCCTCTTATGTGATGTTCACACGAGAGCGCAAACGGTTGTATGCGCTACTTTTCTCTTTCGTATAGCCCGTTAGTTCACACGAGGCCGTAGCGCAAACGCGGAAACGGACCCCGCAAACGATAACGGGTCCCAAGGTTGGTAGATCTGCAGACGGAACGCTCTGGGGGGCCAAACGGCTCCGTGTGTAGCCATAGCCCCGCCTCTCCTGCTCACTGCTGTAGCATGGTCAGTAGCTACTGCTAGTGCTACTGCTACTGACCATGCTACAGATTTTAGTGCAAAATCTACAGCTCCTCTACCACAACCATCAGCAACAAGTGGACATGGAGAATTTTAAAGACACAGTTGAACTACATGTTGCTAAATCCACCGTGGGGCATAAACAGAAGGGCAACCATGCATGGGAGTCTTCTTCGCTGCTTTGGGTGTATTTTGTGGCGGAAGTACAGCACCACTTACAGGCCAGGCACATGTACTACAGCCTCTCCAGCGCTTTCGTGCGGAAGTACAGCGTCACGTACAGGCCCGGCATATGTACTACAGCGTCTCCAGTGCTCCCGAGCGGTGCCATGTGAACGGAATACTTTTTTGATATTGTATTTAGTTCGTTTGCATTTCGTATGCGTTTGCGTGTAAATGGGGTCTTAACCCCTCTGGGTCGTATCTTTTGTTTTCTAATGTTCGGGATTTTAACTCGCAGTCCTGTAGTTCGAGTACTTAAAGTGTCACGAGGAGCTACATCAAAACAGAAGTCAGATAATAACGATATGTCCTCCGATGTAACAACCTCTAGTTGGTAACTTGCCTGACATTGTATTGGTGCTTAGGTCAGCAGGCAAAATGCAAGATGATTATTTGGTGTGGGCATTTTCGGCCTGGTACGAATGAAAAGATTAAAAAAATGAGCCAGTAATGGAGCAAATAGTTAAAAAATGTATCAAAAGCCAAAATATTGAATAGCTGTATTCATGTTGTCATGGAGACATTCTTTTGTCCTTTATCTCAATGATCACAAATAAAACAGTAAAGTCATGCTATTCATTTCACAGTTTTAAGTGTTGTACTTGAATGTAGCCTGAACATTTTTAAACAGCAAATTATTTTTGTAAGATGATTTTGTGTTGCAGTAGAAACGAGCCAGATTCTGGATTTCTGTCCAGAATCTAAATAAATAAGCCATGACAAAAACAATCACAAAAGTATTTAAACTGTCTGGAAGCTATTAACCATAAAATATGACGAATATAAAGTACAAAAAGGCGCATCAGAAATAGGTATAACAGTAAAGCGCAGTTAAAACAGACAGTGGGATGAATCACAGCCTCTTTATAGCCACCGGCTGTAAAGAAAGAAAAGAGCTGAGTGGGGGAAATGCATGTACTGGTCAGGAAGGGTGCTTAGATCCTTTGTGTCAAGTTAACTGCCCCACAGTATGCGGGGGGCGGGGGGGGGCAAAGTATGGCTGCGTGTATTGGTGAGCAGGGGCATGGGCCCTGACTGACGGACCTCATCTCTTTGGTATTTAGATACGCCTTTGTTTTTCATTCACATCCCACCCGCACAGGCGCAGAGGCCCATCTCCCCACAGTCCTCCCCTCCCCCTTCCTGTTGTTGCATTTCAATGTAAATGGCTGGATGAATGGCTGCAGCTGGCCCATCAAAAGGCCGGCCCTGCTGAAGGACCTTGGGGGTTGAGATTCAGCCGGGCCACACCACCTCTAACCTCCCCCACCCAACACTTCGTACTAACACCCAACCCCCTATCTCATCCTAAAGTTTATGCCCAACATGAAAGAAAGATAAAAGATAAAAGTTGTTTGCCTCTTGGAACATAGCAATTATTGTATGGCAATAAATCCTAGACAATTTTTTATCTCAGGGTGACAAAGGTTGATTTGACTGGACACAACATCCTGCTCCATCTCAGTGAAACAAAAAGCATAAAAATGCTTTCACTTTTAGGAGGAAAAGACGCAAAGCCAAGTGTTTCCGGGCAAGGCTGTCTCGTCTTTTCCCCTGTGTGTCAGCTACAGTCTGAACAGACCAGAACAGCGGAGCCCAGAGGTACACATCACAGAGACGGTCTCTGCCACCCGCTCCAAGACCTGGCCGACTAACCTCAGAACATTACCAAAGCTATGTATGGATAATACATCATCCCATGCAGCCTTCTGCTCAGCAGCAAATCCAATCAAAAGAAAAACGTTTGTGTAAATAGTTCAGTGTTTCCCCTAGGATGGAGTCATAGCAGCGGTGCTGAGGCACGTGGGCCCAGCATAATGTTTTTTACGGTACGTCCACACAGCAGCTTTGAAAAAATCTTGAAAATCTTGGAGCTGGGCGTGTCTGAGAACTAGGGGGGTCCGGGGGTATGCCCCCCGGGAAGATTTTTTTGAACATTTTAAAGTAAAATGCTTCAATCTGGTGCACTTTGAGCACACAATTACGAGAGACCTGATCTAGGGGGTACAACTCTAAAACACCCATATGAAAAAGATCGGTTTACATTTTAATAATCAAATAAGTATGTGAACATAACCAATAACCTACCATTGCCAATAACAAATAAATGTAATTTATTTTATTTTTGTTGTTCATTTTTATCTTATTTTACCTAGTTAACATTTATGCATATTTTTGTATCTCATCAACTTTAAACGATATTTTTGGTTTACTGTCCTATAGTATACATTGGAATGATTTCAAACCTGTTTTTATTTATCCTAATAATTATAAAGGAGTGCCTTGGAAATATGTGTTTACATAATTTGTGGTCAAAACGTTTGAGACCCACTGAGATAACTTAGACTAAAATTAACTATCCAAACACTCAGAGTCCTTTCCCTCACTGAGCCTCTGAGAGCTCTCCTCCACCCTGGTTGTAGAAACATCTACTTCTTATATCCGTTAGCGCAGCTAGCACCAGATTCTAATAACAACAGTGCCGGTACCGGTGCGCCCTCTCTCTCTCTCTCTCCCTCGCTCGCTCTCTCGCTCCCACGCTCGCACTTTGGCTGTGAGCTGCGGGCGCCTGATAAGCCAACATCCCCCACTTTCATCACTTACAGCGCCTATGTCAAAAATCGGCCCTGCCAGTACATACAGTGGCAATGTCTCAAGATTTAGCAAAAATACACCTTTATTGAACATACAGTAACACAAATACTACANTCTTATGTGTTTTATCTACGTATTTAGTCTAGATTGTGACAATTGTGGACCCTATCTCACCAACTTTAAACGGTATTTTTGGTTTACTGTCCTATAGTATACATTGGAATGATTTCAAACCTGTTTTTATTTATCCTAATAATTATAAAGGAGTGAGAGAGAAAGACATATTTGTTTGAGACCCACTGAGATAACTTAGACTAAAATTAACTATCTAAACACTTATGGCCCGTCTAAACTACAGGCATCGAAAAATGCTTTCAACGCTTCGCCCATTCACTTGAATGGGGTGACGTAGAAGATTTTTAATCTTCGCCGAACTGCATTGTGGGGAGCATGGCATGGCTTTGCAAGCATCACGAGCATCTATCGGCATCAAAAGTTGAACAATGTTCTACTTTTGAGGCTCGATGCTTGGCATCCGCCAATCAAATCCCGTTTATGCAATTCCCGCCAGTACAAGCGCTAGCCAATCAAACCGCGTGTATGCTGATACCGCAGGTCTTGACTATTTTCCATATGTCGTAAAATGGAGAATAAATTAATCATTGCCGTGGCAAGTGTCCCAGTTCTGTATGACTGTACTCTGTTCACCTACCGGGACCTAAACCGGAGGAACCAGGCATGGCGGGAGGTGGCAGAGACAGTTGGTGAAACTGGTAGGGTTTCAACTGTTTGGGGAGTTTATATCCAGTTTACTTCGTTGAAGAAGCGGGCTTTTTTTTGCTTTGTATGCCGGGGGCGGGCGGGAGATTCCTGATTGGTTGTTGGTCGCCTTGGGCGCGAGAAATCGCCAAGCCTCAGACACGCCCAGCTTCAAGATTGTTTGATGCCTGTAGTGTAGACGGGCCGTTAGAGTCCTTTACCTCACTGAGCCTCTCAGTCTGACAGGAGAGCTCTCCTCCACCATGGTTGTAGAAACATCTACTTCGTATATCCGTTAGCGCAGCTAGCACCAGATTCTAATAACAACAGCGCCGGTACCGGTGCACCCTCTTTCTCTCTCTCCCACGCTGGCTGTGAGCTGCGGGCGCCTGATAAGCCAACATCCCCCACTTTCATCACTTACAAGTGCCTATGTCAAAAATCGGCCCCGCCAGTACATACAGTGGTAATGTCTCAAGATTTAGCAAAAATACACCTTTATTGAACATACAGTAACACAAATATGGGAACCTGGCCCACAGCCATTTGTCTAATAGCTTACCTACTCAGGTAAGTCTAGTGTGAACTACACGCACAAAGGGAAAGGTTATTATTATATCCAAGATGTTGTTTTATATCACTGTTCTCTAAGATAAACCATTGAGCAACTAATCTGTTATTGCAATAGTTGCAAGTCTATGAAAAGTAAGTTGATCAACGTATAAAACTACTGGAATGATGTGAATAAGGGAACAAATTATATCAGCCATTAGTAAATTAACAGGGCGAGAACCTTGCACATATAACGGCTACACTTCTTTAGGATGTTTCCGAATAAAACTAAGGCAACAACCACACTATTACATATCTGTTTTAAAACTTTTGCTATGTTTATGTCTAGCCTCCAAACACATCCAGTGTTTTCTAACACCTATAAAGAGATGAATGAAAATGCGGCTGACCCTCCTTTAGTTCAAAGATTCTGTTATAGTCTTGACTGCTGTAGACATCTGAAAAACGATGTTAACCTATTCCCTTCCTTATTGAGTCTTACAAGTCATCACATGTTGTTCCCTGACTTGTCACAGCCCTATTACGTGACACGTTTCCCGAAGAAAGCAATAGACATCAGCCTTGACTAGCAGTGGTTAAAGTAACAAAACCGGTTGCAGGCCTTGCTGACTTTGTTGTTTAAGATGGCAACAGTGACACAGATAAATTTAGCATTTTATAATGCTCATACTGCCTACATCCACAAACATGATATCTTTGAGCGATAGCAACAATTCGTGTGTCAGCCCTACATTAAGTGGCATGCAGCATAAGCATGACCACTGTACGTAATTGGACAAACAAACAACCTTTTACATAAATTTATATAACATAACTACATTTATTGGTGGATCTTAACATAATATTATCATGTGGTTTTGAATACTTATATCAATATGGCAACCAAGCTAAGTTGTTGGTCAGCCGATGTTATAATGTATGTTTGCTAGAAATGCCAAAATATCAATCTTCATGAGTATACTTCTGTGTGACGTTTTTAAAATGTTTTGTATACTTACAATTTGTATCAAGCATATCACTATGTTACAAATAAAAAACAGGAGCACAACATTTTATTTTTCTGAGCTTTGATCAGAGAGATCAGAAGTGAAGTCCGTTAAAACCACTTCTCTGGAGGAACAGCAGCATGCCAGAATAGAGATCGTGTCCCTTTGATGTGCAAGAGACTCAGGGAGGAGAAAATATTACCAAGAGCGAGCAGTGGAAGGTTAGGAAGTAAGAACAACCTATCACGAGTTAAAGATGCTATCAACCACCAGGACCTCCTAAACCCGAAAATGAGGCTCCACAGTCCCTGAGGGAAACTGCAGGATTGGGGCCCGCCATTTTGTTCTATTTTACTTGGAGGGTAGAGGAGGGGGCAAAGGCTGAATTTCAAAGGGCTTCAGATGCCATTCGAGTCTCCGCAGAGATTGTGCTGGTGCTGGTAGAATAGCAGCTATAAAAGATTTACACAACTCAAACAGGGAGGATGAGAAGGGAATGAGGGAGAAACAGAGACAGAGAAAGAAAAAGAAAGGCAGAGCCAGACAAAGAGAGACAAGAAACAGGAGCAGCCATGCTTGTTTACCTAAAAGGACCACTCTCTCAGCACAAGAGGGGGGAGGGGAGAGCCTGCCCGGACAGAGGGCAGGCAGAGTGGGTGCTGGAATTGCAGCAATAGCATTCTTCCCCCTCTTACAACTAGCTGTATAATTCTTCAAAATGAATCTCAAGAAGATGGTTTCTCAGCCCATCAAGGGAGATATTTCTAAATGTACTGCACACTGTCAGCATCTTATCTTTATCATCACATGTTTTAAGTGGGCAGAAAATAAACACCATTTGCACCCTTAACAATCACTAATTCATATTGAAACGTTTTTGTGGAACTGAATGCCTACTACTTTCTGATCAGATGCTGTTTCCACAACATTGTATGGGGCAGCTATCTCTACTAAACTTGGTCTTTTTTTGTTTCCAATTGACGAAAGTGGAGAATAGTAAATGTAACTTCTTTTTTTTTTTACAACCTTAATCGAGCAAATGGAAGATGCAGACCAATGGTGGTCAGAGAAAAGCAATCCAAAGTGGTCATGTACATCCAAACAATCCACTCAAAAACCATAAAGGTCCGCACTATGTAGTTACCTTAAGTGCATTTTAGTGGCCCATCCACAAATTACTTTGTGACCAGCCATGACCTTTCTTCAGTCCGACCCACAGCACAAATCTGTTGTAGTCAGAGAAGAAAGGTTTAAGCAAATGTTATGTTGAAGATGTTCAGCTGAGAATCCTGCAGTGACAACATACAGAGAAAACATTGTCTCAATGGATGGTTCATAAAATGTTGACAAATGCTCATCGTATTAACTAAAACCCCATGATTCTTTAAACGTCTTGATTTCTAGGGCTGTGCCCAGTTGGTCGACTAAACTGGAAAGCCCCTCAGACTTCATTCAGAGCTGTGCCTGGTCATTAAGTTAATCTTATCAGGCAAGAGCAGGGTCTTCCACACATAGACTTTACTTGGGCATCCGCCAAAGTATATTTCGCATGTTCGCGAGCACGACGCTATCTGCGATCGATTAACTACCCCTCCTGTACCTGTTCGCTCTGCTATCGCGTGAAGGATCTGCTCCCCCCCCCCCCCC